GTCCTGGTCGGCTGCCTGGAGGGCCTACAGCCCTGTCTGCTCATTTACCCTTCAAAGTTCAACTTATCCTCGCTTCCCACAGGGGAGCACTCCAGAACCCCTGAGGTGCCCCACGCGACCTCCTCTCACTCATTTTTCAATTTTTTTTTTCCTGAGATGGAGCAGGCTGGAGTGCAGCGGCATGATCTGGGCTCACTGCAAGCTCCGCCTCCCGGGTTCATGCCATTCTCCTGCCTCAGCCTCCCGAGTAGCTGGGACTACAGGCGTCTGCCACCATGCCCAACTAATTTTTTATATTTTTTTAGTAGAGTTGGGGTTTCACCATGTTAGCTGGGATGGTCTCCATCTCCTGACCTCGTGATCTGCCCAGCTCGGCCTCCCAAAGTGCTGGGATTACAGGCATGAGCCACAGTGCCCGGCGTTTTTTTTTGTTTTGTTTTGTTTTGTTTTTGAGAAGTCATGCTCTGTCACCTGGCCAGGCTGGAGTGCGGTGGCACCATCTCAGCTCACTGCAACCTCTGCCTCCCAGGTTCAAGCGATTCTCCTGCCTTAGCCTCCCGAGTAGCTAGGACTACAGGCATGTGCTACCACGCCCGGCTAATTTTTGTATTTTCAGTACAGAGGGGGTTTTGGCATGTTGGCCTGGCTGGTCTCGAACTCCTGACCTCAGGTGATCCGCCCACCTTGGCCTTCCAAAGTGTTGGGATTACATGCGTGGGCCACCACGGCGCCCAGCCTCTTTTTTTTCTTTTTTTTTGGGGGGAGAGAGCCTGGCTCTGTAGCCTAGGCTGGAGTGCAGTAGTGCAATCTCAGCTCGCTGCAACCTCCGCCTCCCAGGTTCAGGTGATTCTCCCACCTCAGCCTCCCGGGTAGCTTGGATTACAGGCGTATGCCACCCTGACCGGCTAATATTTGTATTTTTAGTACAGACAGGGTTTCACCAGCCAGGGCGGTCTCAAACTCCCGACTTTCCATAATGCGCCCGTCTCGGCCTCCCCAAGTGCTGGGATTACAGGTGTGAGTCTCCGTGCCCGGCCTCCTCTCATTTTCAGCCTATGTAGACGCCTACCGGCCCCCAGTAGGGCTGGGGCAGGGTTGACTTTCCACTGCTCTCTGGGATGGCTGGGAGCATGGAGGCTGAGGACTGGGCAGCATCCCCCTACATCGCCCCATTCTGGGAAGGCCCTGCTCTGGCTTCTCTAACTCAGCTTGGGTTGGGGGCAGCCCCAAGCCCCGTCCCAGACCCTCTGCAGCCCTGACAACAGCTAGGGCCAGAGATGACCTCAGCCTGGAGAGCCAGTGTTCCTGGGGAGACAGAATCTCATTGCCTCCCACCCCAACCTAAGAGAACCTCTCCTTTGGGGGTGGGGTGAGGTTCAGGGACGGATCCTGGATCCACACCAAGCCCGGCTTGCTCCACTGACAAGGAGAAAAATGCGGAAAAGGGACGGAAGGGTGACATCACCCAGGATTGCTCTACCTCTGGGGCAATTATCGGGGGGCGGGGCGGCCCCAGTCAGACGCAGACAGCAGGCAGGGCGGGACCCAGGTACAGACCCAGGTAAGAGGCCAAGGTCCGGAGGGGTCGCGGGCGCGGGGCAAGGCTGAGGCCCCACGTCAGGGCGCGTGGGTCTGCGGAGCTGGGGTCCCCCACGAAGGGTTTGCGGGACTAGCATCCCGCCTTGGATGTTTATGAGTCCGTCTGTGGGTGAGCCAGTGGGTCCCGGGACTCCCGAGGCCTGTGCGGCTTTCAGGTCTGGGGTGCTGCCGGTGAGTCTCTGTCCAGGGACCAGCTCCTCTGTCCCGGGTGGGTGTGGGAG